GCTGTGCCAGGCTGAGCCAAGCTGTGCCAGAATGTGCCAGAATGTGCCAAGCTTTGCCAGGCTGTGCCAGGCTGTTCCAAGCTGTGCCAGGCTGTGCCAGGCTGTGCTGAGCTGTGCCAGGCTGTGCTGAGCTGTGCCAAGCTGTTCCAGGCTGTGCCAGGCTGTGCTGTGCTTTGCTGCAGACCTTCCCCCGTTGCCAACCCCAGGGAGAGCAGCGGGGAGACACGAGAGCACACGAGCCCCAGGGGCAGCTCCCGCCATCGCCCTCCCCACCACGGAGATGCCCCTTCCCGTGCTGGGACAGGCCCTGGCACCCCCTGCCAGGACAAACCTTCCACCAGCTCGCAGTTGTGGTTGCTGGACGTGCCGGTGGAGCTGAGGGAGATGGAGGCTCTGCCTTTCTGGAGGGTGACACCGGTGACCCTGAACGTCTCGAAGGGCGGGATGAGAACCTCCTCCTCGGAGGGGAACTGGGAGAGCTCCTTGATGGGGACCCCGTGGCAGGTGTGCACTGTGAAGAAGGTGTCCTGGCCAAACTTCTCGGCTTCCTGCGCGCTGGAGGAGCTGGAGATGAAGTGAGGGAGATGGAGGCTCTGCCTTTCTGGAGGGTGACACCGGTGACCCTGAACGTCTCGAAGGGCGGGATGAGAACCTCCTCCTCGGAGGGGAACTGGGAGAGCTCCTTGATGGGGACCCCGTGGCAGGTGTGCACTGTGAAGAAGGTGTCCTGGCCAAACTTCTCGGCTTCCTGCGCGCTGGAGGAGCTGGAGATGAAGTGCCCGAAGCGCACGGACTGGCCAACCTCGGCGGTGAAGGTAATCCATCAGACCCCCCGGTAGACCCATTGGCAGCCGCGGGGCTGGCGCTCCCGCAGGGTTTGCACGGCCCGGGTCAGCAGGACCTGACCCCAACCCTGGCACCAACACAGACCCCAGCCCCAGCAGCAGCCAAGACCCCCAGCCAGACCCTGACCCCAACCCTGGCACCAACACAGACCCCAGCCCCAGCAGCAGCCAAGACCCCCAGCCAGACCCTGACCCCAACCCTGGCACCAACACAGACCCCAGCCCCAGCAGCAGCCAAGACCCCCAGCCAGACCCTGACCCCAACCCTGGCACCAACACAGACCCCAGCCCCAGCAGCAGCCAAGACCCCCAGCCAGACCCTGACCCCAACCCTGGCACCAACACAGACCCCAGCCCCAGCAGCAGCCAAGACCCCCAGCCAGACCCTGACCCCAACCCTGGCACCAACACAGACCCCAGCCCCAGCAGCAGCCAAGACCCCCAGCCAGACCCTGACCCCAACCCTGGCACCAACACAGACCCCAGCCCCAGCAGCAGCCAAGACCCCCAGCCAGACCCTGACCCCAACCCTGGCACCAACACAGACCCCAGCCCCAGCAGCAGCCAAGACCCCCAGCCAGACCCTGACCCCAACCCTGGCACCAACACAGACCCCAGCCCCAGCAGCAGCCAAGACCCCCAGCCAGACCCTGACCCCAACCCTGGCACCAACACAGACCCCAGCCCCAGCAGCAGCCAAGACCCCCAGCCAGACCCTGACCCCAACCCTGGCACCAACACAGACCCCAGCCCCAGCAGCAGCCAAGACCCCCAGCCAGACCCTGACCCCAACCCTGGCACCAACACAGACCCCAGCCCCAGCAGCAGCCAAGACCCCCAGCCAGACCCTGACCCCAACCCTGGCACCAACACAGACCCCAGCCCCAGCAGCAGCCAAGACCCCCAGCCAGACCCTGACCCCAACCCTGGCACCAACACAGACCCCAGCCCCAGCAGCAGCCAAGACCCCCAGCCTGACCCTGACCCCAACCCTGGCACCAACACAGACCCCAGCCCCAGCAGCAGCCAAGACCCCAGTGCCAGCATCAGTCCAGACCATGACCTCAGCACTGGTTGAGACCCCAACACCAATCAGGGTCCAAGGGAGCACTGGGGACCAGCACCCATGTTCTGCCAGCCCTTCAGCTCCCTGTCAGAGGTGACAACCACGGTGGTCCCCATCTCAGTGCCACCCTGCAGCAGATGACACCACCATCTCAGAAGTAGCTGAGAAGTTTCTAACCCAGCTTGGCTGCTCCACCAGCCTCTGCTTCCCCCGCCCCGCGCTGTCGCCAACCTGCTCTGCCTGCCCTTGCTTTGCAGGGGTTTGGGGGTGGGTTTCTGATGCCCATAATGATTCTGCCAGCCTGGAATGTCACCTTTCCTTCCTGGAAGTGCCCGATGGAGCCTTCTGATCCCACTGTCCTCTTCTCTTTGTCTTTTTCAGCTTGACTCGCACTGCGCAGATGTCCGAGGTCACTCGTCTTTGCCCCAGTTCTTCCTCCTCCTCACTGCACTGCAGAGCACAGCAAGGGTTAGCATTCCCAGAGCTGCTTTTCCCAACCATTCCCACCCAGGCCAGGGCACCTTTCCCCACTCTAGAGGTGCTGTGTCCACCAGGAAAAGGCAAAAAACGTGGGCACCCGGGACCAAACTTGTTGGCCAACTCAACCCAACAACTAAAACCATGGAGCAGCCAAGGTCAGAAGCTGCAGGTGGTCCTGGGAAGGGAGGGAAGTGTCTGCTCTGCTGTTGTCCACGTTGTACCTGGGCTGGATGAATGGGAAGTCCAGCCCTGGGAGGTGCTGGGTTGGTGTCTCCTGCCAGCACCAAGTCCTGAGGAGCAGAGGGTTGTGTTGGGAGCTGGGGCTGGTGGGAGGTTCCTGATGGGTCCTCTGGTTTTATGGGGACAGAGCAATGAACCTTCCTGCTGCAAACCTGACTGTGCACCAAGGGGCTGCTCTCCTGAAGCTGCTCCCTGGGGAAAAACATCCCCAGAGTGGGACAGAATCCATCTGGGCCATGATCCTGCCTCCCACAGGAGGAAGAGCTGCCCTAAGGTCCTTCGGTACCTGGAGGTCGTGGGCAGGATAATGGAGAAGATAAATCAAAGAACCATGGAATGGGTTGGGTTGGAGGGACCTCAAAGCCCACCCAGTGCCCCCCCTGCATGGGCAGGGACACCTCCCAGCAGCCCAGGCTGCTCCAAGCCCCATCCAACCTGCCCTTCAACACCCCCAGGGATGGGGCAGCCACAGCTTCCCTGGGCAACCTGGGCCAGGCTCTCCCCACCCTCACAGCCCAGAATTTCTCCCTCCCATCTCAGCTCCAGCTCCCTCTGCCAGCTGGAAACCCTTCCCCCTGCTCCCATCCCTCCCTGCCCTTGTCCCAAGCCCCTCCCCAGCTTTCCTGCAGCCCCTTCAGGCCCTGGAAGCTGCTCTCAGCTCTCCCTGGAGCCTTCTCTTCTCCAGGCTGAACACCCCAACTCTCCCAGCCTGGCTCCAGAGCTGCTCCAGCCCTCCCAGCATCTCCGGGGCCTCTTGAGCTGTCTAAACCCTCCCAGGAGACTCTACTTTGACAAGAGGACAACATGGAGAAGGTGGCAACTGGCTCAAGGATTTGTGCTCCTTCTCACTTGTGGTGGTTCTTTAGAAAGTGTGTCCCACACTGAACTGAACTTGTGTGGCTTCTGGTTCTAGTCACTTGCTCTTTCAATATTTCACACCCCCCTGCAGTTGTTTCTGTGCTGACCTAAATCCCCTGCAGTGTCAGAGTAAACCTGGTCTGAGGATCAAAGCAATAAAGCTGAGAGTGAAAAGGCCCCTCACACCACGCGCTGGGAGGAGGATGCACAGACACCTTTCTATCACATTCTTTGCTCTTTCCTCCCCATCCCTCCCACCCCCCCATCTTGTTTCAGGTGAAGCAAAACCTCACAGCATCCCAGAATCCCAGGGGTTGGAAGGGACCTGGAAAGCTCCCCCAGCCCAGCCCCCCTGCCAGAGCAGGGGCACCCAGAGCACATCACACAGGAACGTGGCCAGGGGGGTTGGAATGTCTCCAGAGAAGGAGACTCCACAGCCTCTCTGGGCAGCCTGGCCCAGGGCTCTGTCACTCTCACAGCAAAGTTCTTCCTGAGATTCACATGGAACCTCCTGGGCTCCAGTTTGCACCCACTGCCCCTTGTCCTGTCACTGGACATCACTGCACAAAGCCTGGCTCTGCCCTCCTGACACTGCCCTTGGTGTGTTTGTAAACATGAATGAGGTTGCTCCTCAGTCTCCTCCAAGCTGCAGAGACCCAGCTCCCTCAGCCTGTCCTCATCAGGGAGAGGTTCCACTCCCTTAAAACTTGATCAGCTGCTGCTCCTTTTGTGGAGAAAATGGAAGAGTTCTCGGTGTCTCTTGGCATCATGTTGCTCCACCCACGGGGACAGACCCCACTGCCTGCTCACTGCACACACAGACCTCCCTCCACACCCAGGCCTCCTCGGGAGCTGGGATCTCACCTTCCTTCTGAGGAACAGGCTCCCTGGGTGCCCTGGGCCTTTGTAGCCACTGAGGAGGGTTGTTCCTGCCTGGCTGTGGTTTATCTGGCCAACTGCACTGGGCTCTCTTAGGACCAGTCGCTTTGTGCTCCAGAAATACTCATGGTTCCCAGTCACTGCCCAGGGAACTCGCTCAGACACCCTGAATCCCCGGCTGGGGAATGGAATTCAGTTCTTCTGAGCATGTGGCTTGCTGAGTTCATGAACTGGAGAGGCTGGAGAGCTGGGCAGAGAGGAACCTGATGAGGTTCAACAAGGGCAAGTGGAGGGGCTGCACCCAGGGAGGAAGAACCCCAGGCACCAGTCCAGGATAGGGGTGGACCTGCTGGGAAGCAGCTCTGAGGAAGAGAATCTGGGAGTCCTCCTGGGAGACAGTAAATGGTCCATGAGCCAGGAATGTGCCCTGGTGGCCAAGAGGGCAAATGGAATCCTGGGGTGCATGAGGAAGAGTGTGGCCAGTAGGTTGAGAGAGGTCATTGTGCCCTGGTGAGGCCACAGCTGGAGAACTGGGACCAGTTCTGGGCTTCCCAGTTCAAGAGAGACAAGGAACTGCTGGAGAGAGTCCAGGGGAGGGCAGCAAAGATGACTGGGGGGTTGGAGCATCTCCCTGAGGAGGAAAGGCTGGGAGAGCTGGGACTGCTCAGCCTGGAGAAGAGAAGGCTGAGGGGAGACCTTCTTAATGCCTGGCAGTATCTCAGGGGGGTGCAGGAGGATGGAGCCAGACTCTGCTCAGTAGTGCCCAGGGACAGGACGGGGGGCAACGGGCACAAGCTGGAACACGGGAAGTGCCACTGGAATATAAGGGAAAACTTGTTGCCTGTGAGGGTGACAGAGCCCTGGGCCAGGCTGCCCAGGGAGGCTGTGGAGTCTGGAGACATCCCAAATCCCTCTGGACATGTTCTGTGGGACCTGCTGGAGGTGACCCTGCTCTGGCAGAGGTTGGACTGGTTGATCTCCAGACCTCCCTTCCAACTCTAGCAGTTCCATGATCCCACGAGGACCTTCTCAGCCTTTCAGAAGTGCTGTGGGAAGAGGAACTGCAGTCCCAGGAGCTCCCACTAAGGAGGCTCACACATGTTTCTCCAAGAACCAGCTCAGTGCTGTCACCATCTCCACAGGCTGCTTCTCACCCCCTTTGCCACAGCTGTAAAAGAAGCATTTTACACATTTTTTTTCCAGGCATCCTCCCTTCTGGAACGAGCAGCCCTGGGTGTAAACACTGCCTGAAACACTCTCTGTAACCTTTCACTATCCCACAGCCGAGGCCAGTAGGACAATTACCACAACTGCTTTTCCTGTTTCAACAGGAAACACCTTTTGTTCTTTGTGTGGAGGGTTTTTTGGGGGGGGTTGGGGTTGGTTTGTTGGGTTGTTTTGCCCCTCCCTCCTGCACGAAGTGGTTTTGAAGAATCTGTTTTTTTCCTGGCTCAGGTTGACATCACTCCCTCCTGCCAATGGCAGGTTAGATTTGCACCCTCGGGTGTCCCTGTGCTCCAGGGCATTCCCTGGGGCTTCCTTGGAGCTGGAACATCCTCTGAGGTGGTGCCATCTCTGCCTTGTGCCACTAATTAAACACAAGAGCACTACCAGTGGCTTCCTGATGCCTGAAACCCGGGTTAGTGCTGCCCCTGTCTCTCCTGCAAATGCCACCAGAAACTTCTCAGCTTTCAGGGACTGACTGGAGAGGCTGAAACCACCCAGACTTCCCAGTGTCCATTGTGTATAAACAAGATAAGTGACTTTACATGCCAAAGATAAGCGACTTTCAAAATTAAAGACAATGCCTGGCAAGGCAGCAGGACACCTCTTAACTCTGGCTCAAAACATCCTGGTTTTGCCAAGCTGGGAAGAGCTGGGTTGTTCAGCTGTGAGTTACAATCTCATGTGGGCAAAGCAGCCTCAGGTAACTGGAGTTGTATGAATGTTCATTGGTCTGGGGTGGATGAAGGATGAATGTTTGTCCTCGGGTGGCAGGGGGAGGGACCCCCCACCCCCCCAGGCTGCAACAAGCCAGGGTTGGCTTTGGAAACTGATGCTTGGTTTGGAGAGTTTTCTTGGCTACAGTTTGGGGTGACACAACCAGGCCTGTGTTCTCACAGGATGAGCTGGGGCTGCAGGGATGAACCGGGCACAGGGATGAGCCGGGCACAGGGATGAGCCGGGCACAGGGATGAGCCGGGCACTGGGATGAGCTGGGCACAGGGATGAGCTGGGCACAGGGATGAGCTGGGCACAGGGATGAGCTGGGCACAGGGATGATGAGCTGGGCACAGGGATGAGCCGGGCACAGGGATGAGCTGGGCACAGGGATGAGCTGGGCACAGGGATGATGAGCCGGGCACAGGGATGAGCTGGGCACAGGGATGAGCTGGGCACAGGGATGA